GTTTAAAGATTCTCTCAAGGCAGTAGTTTCACTAGTTCCTTCAGCCTCCGTGGTTCCGAAAGTTGAATCCTTGAGAATGTGAAATTCTGTTCTGTATCTTCCTCCTTTTGATTAGGAGTTCCCTATAGAATCCTTGATCAGTCTGTTCAGTAATGGCAGCAGGCACAATCCAGTTCTTCTGATCTCATAGGAGATCACCTCCTCTTCCTGTTCCTGACACCCCTCTTTATCACTCCAGCTGAATAGAGGCCACGTGAGTAGCAGTTTGTTGGATGAGAACAACAGTTCATTTGGATGGCCATTAGCAAGCTCGTAAGGCACTATGTAATCAAACTAGGAGGTAGAACCAAAGTATTAAATACGTTATTCAGCCAATTAATCATGACCAAGGAACCAAATCCCACAAGGTGTTTGGTTGTACATATGGCTTAGGCATTCATACATGAAACGTTTAAGTGAAGGCATCAAGTTGAAACATGTATGTCGATCTTTGTCATGAAGTTTGAGTGACGATACATGCATCTTTAAAACATTGGCTACCTTTATTATGTTGGAAAGGAGCTCTGGTAGCGTAGTGGTTATGAGTTGGGCTGCAGATCACAAGGTCAGCAGTTTGAAGCTACCATCTGTTCCGTGGGAGGAAGATGAGACTTTCTGCTCCTGTAGAGCTTTGTAAACCCTATGCAGGGTTGCTATGAGTCGGAACCCACTCCACGGCACACCACCACCATTATGTTGGAACTCTGAATGAGAAGATAATGGAATTTACCCCACCAACTTTCTGAAGCCCCCTCACACTTAAAAGGAACTGGCTACTCTTCAGCTGGAGAGGAAAGGAGCGAGAGGGTTCATAGCCCTTCAGAGGTTTGCGGTGGACAGCGGAGTAATGAAATAAATAGGTGTGAACTGAGGGACACAGATGCATTTCCAAATAGAGAGGAACTTACGATGTAAAAAAAAAATGGCTGACAGTTGAGCAAATGAATCTGGGATCTTATAAAAGGAATTCTTCATGGAGTGTAAAGTGTACTTAATGCCCTAAGGCCCTTTGTTTGATTCCTCTGCAATTGTAAAGCTTTAAAAGAGCCCTTAGCCTTGGTCCAGATGAGTAGCAATTTATTGGGAGAGTACAATAGAATAATAATTCACATTATTCCTTTCATGCACAAAGGCAAATTGGTTTGAAGTTAGTCCATTTTAATACTTCCCTGTGTATCTATTCATGCAGCTTAATTTCCGTCAGAACCAAGAAGTTTGTCTGAAGCTCTGCAACGTATGTTCACATACCTGATTTTTTTTTTAAGACTTATTTTTTTTCTCATTATTTTGCTATATGTAGGTTTCATGCTTTAAAAATATACAAGATTTGGTATTGCCCAATTTTGCCAATCTTGACTGACAGATTGGTTTCAGATTTCTAATGTGCTCTGTGATTGATATGTGTGCCTATTAGCTGTGGAATTTAATCGTGGTTTTTGCTTTGAACTGCTATTTTATTTTAAGAACTCTGGTGGTATGGATAGGTAAGTGCTCAAGTACCAGCTGAAAGAATGGTTGACAGTTTGAAGCCACCAAAAGGTGTGTTGGAAAACAAGCTGGGCAGTCTGTTTACAAAAACTCAGAGACCGAAAACTTATAGAGCCTGTAAACCAGATTGCATGTCCGGCATCTCTTCTGTGCTGGGAGAAGCAGCAAAGTTAATTCATAAGCAGGAAAGGAGTTAGCCCTAAAAAGAAACATTGAGTACTACAATGACAAATAGGCTTCGCTTTCTTGTAAAGAATACTTGATATGGAAAACCACTTCCCTTTAGAATTACTAAATTAATCATAAAACTGAGTAAAGGCAGAAGGAGAGTTGATCCATTTGAAGGATTCCATTTTAGTTATTTCTGAGCTAATAGAATTACTATTTTAGAGAAGCAATCATTTATAAAATGTCTTCTAGCTGAAGGTATATCATGTGTAGCTTCTTTCAGGTCGGAGAATGTTCTTGTGAGGCAGCTGGGAGGAAGGAGGATTGGTGGTACGGCGTGGCCTTCACTGTTAGACGCCATATTGTGGCTAAGTGCAGCTGAGGCCGTTCCAACTCTACAGGGTTTCTGAGGAGTGGCTAGTGGATTTGACCCACTGACCTTGTGATTCAGACTGACCTTGTGGTCTAGTGCCTTACCCCATAGCTCCACACCAGGACTTGACACATTATAGAGAAGAAAACTGTACGTAAGAGTGGTGTAGGATTGTCGTGAAGAACATAACTCCTGTGTGGCTGCCTGAGTCTGCCAGCACTCATTCTAGGGTGACATTGGGCAGGCCCTCTAACTCAGCCCCTGTTTGCTCCTTGGATTGTTATGAAGAATAAATGCTTGTCTGATGACAGTAAGTACTCAGTGAATCCTAGCTATAAATAGCTTTTAAAAAGGAGCTCTGCCAGCATGGTGGTGGAGGTGGAGGTGTGCCATGGTGTCTGTTCCGACTCATAGCGACCCTGCTGTAGGGTTTCCGAAGCTATAAATCTACGGGAGCAGAAAGCCTCATGTTTCTCGCACAGAACATTTGGTAATTTTGGACTGCTGACCTTGAAGTTAGCAGCCTAACTGGTAACCACTGTGTTACTGCAAGTTGGGCTGCTAACTGCAAGATCAGCAGTTCGAGTCCACCAGTCG